TGTGGAGTGGTAGAATCAACATTGTGAAAATGGCTATACTATCAAAAGCAATCCATATGTTCAACTCTATTCCTATCAAAATTCCAATGACTTTCTTCACAGAGATAGAAAAATCAATCCTAAACTTCTTATGAGACACAAAAGACCTCAGATAGCCAAAGAAATTCTGAGCAAAAAGTCCAATGCTGGAGGTATCACAATACCTGATTTCAAACCATACTATAGAACCGTAACAATAAACACAGCACAGTATGGCACAAAAACAGACACAAAGACTAATGGAAGAGAAGACCCATATACAAAAGTCAGCCAACTGACTTTTGACAAAGGAGCCCAAAGCACATGATGGGAAAAGACATCCTCTTCAATAAAAGCTGGGTATCTGCATGTGGAAGACTCAAACTAGATCTCTGTCTCTCACTCTGTACCAACATCAACTCAAAGTGGATCAAAGACCTTAATAAATATAAGGCCTCAATTTTGAAACAGCCATAGGAATTAGTAAGAAATACACTGGAACATACAGTCATTGGCAACAACTTCCTAAGAGAAAGACTGAACAAATGGGACTGCACATAAAGCTTCTGCACAGCAAAAGAAACATTCACTAGACTTAAGAAACTGCCCACAGAATGGGATAAATTCCCATTCTTTGGTAGGTATTCATTGCTACTGGTCTAATATCCAGAATTTACAAGGAGATAAAAAACTCAACCTCCAAAGAATCAACATCCCAATGAAGAAATGGGCATATGAATTGAACAGGGATTTTTCAAAGGAAGAGGTACAAATGATCAATAAATACATGAAGAAGTGTTCAACTTCTCTGGCTATAAAAGAAATGCAAATCAAAACTACACAAAGATTTCATCTCACCCCAGTTAGAATAGCCATCTTCAAGAGCAAAAACAAGTGCTGCTAAAGATGTAGTGAAATAGGAACACTTTGGGAATGCAAATTAGTAACCATTATGGAAGTAGTATGGATATACCATAAAAAGCCAAAAACAGATCCAGTGATACCTCTCCTGGACATATATCTGAAGGACCAGTAAGATAGGATATAATCGAGACACTTGTACACTGATGTTTGTTGTAGCACTGTTCACAAAAGCCAAGCTATGGAAACAACCCAGATGTCATATAACTGATGAATGGGAATTTTATTCATCCATAAGGGAGACTAACACTATGGGGTTTGAAGGTAAATGGATGTAACTTGAGGACATCATGCTAAGTGAAGTAAGCCAGGTTCAGAAAGACAAAGGATGCACATTTCCTTTTATATGTGGTAGATCCAAAAGTTAAACATATACACAAAACAAATATGATCATGTATACATTATATGTAAAACATGTTTGTAACAGTGGAACTACTCTATGGAACTTGGGAAGGAGAGAAAGGAAAAGAGAGTGATGGAGTCAACAATATCAAAACATGTAATACTTGTGCAGGTAGAAGACATAGCAATATGTATTAAAAGCTGTTGAATAATGTGGGGGAGGTGAATGGGAAGGGAGAGGTAAAGGCAGGAAAGTAAAGGAAGGCATGGAACTGACCAAAGTTAAGTGTACTCACAGTGGGGATAGCTGAAAAACGTTGAACACTGACTTAGGAGTTACTTATGAAAGATAGGGCTGTAAAATAGGTACTCTGTGTGTGTGTGTGTACTTGTGGAAGGCAGAGGGGGAATGAAGGAGATGAAGGTGGGGGAATGTTGTTGATGGATTTTGTATACATATACAAAATAGAACAATGAAACCTCTTGCAATTGCTTTAAGTGAGGCCGTAAGGGGGTTCAGGGGGAGAGATGATAGGGGTGATCTAACCAATATACAATGTAAGCCTATTCAGAATTGCCACAATGAATCTCTCCTGTGCAATGAATACATCATAATAAGAATCAAACAAAATTTGCTGAGCAGTCATATTGCAGTAACAAGGTATACTAAATTAAGCACTGATAATATAGTTGATATCATTTCCTAACTTCCACCACGTCAAAGCATCTAACATGCCTCATAATGCTATGCTTCTGTTGGTAGGAGATGTTACATTTTGGAAATGAATGATCTCCCAAAGCATTTTCAGTGCCCAGGTAAGTTTTTAAATGCCGCACAGGGTATTGTCCATCTTCCTTCAGATTCCCACTGCATATTGGCCAAAAAAAAAAAAAAAACACACACAAAAGTGTTCAGCAGCTGTGATGGCACTTCTCCAACATCTGGCCCTGCATCCCTGTATTTACTGAATAGTTCTTAATGTTCCCTGGGTCACTGCCTCACCCCATACCTCACACAGAAGATTCTCAGAAATTTATACAGTATTCCCCACGTTTGGGGGGATTAATGAGATTGCTAAATTTTTATTTTGCTAAATGAGAACATGTGAAAATCAACTACAGTTTTATGAAACATAAACAAAATTAAATAGAACATGTATGTGAAACCCTTCTGGGAACTGCAAAAGACTCCATGAGAAATATGTTATTTTTACAGTGATCCCTAGTAGGTTTCTTAGAGAAAGAAAATAAATAATAGGCTATTAATGAAATAGAGCATTTCCCATAGGAAAAAAAAACCCCTTTCTTCAACTGTAAATAGGAAGCACTCTCTGGAATTCTTTCAGCAACCTGCTCAATAAACCATTTTCTCTCTGTGTCTTCTAATAAGACCTCAGAGTCCAGTGGGAAAAATGGGTATGGCAGTTTTCATGGGCTCTGCCACCTTCGCTGTGGATCCCTTCTTTTCCCTGAGAAGGGATTTATAGATAACAATTGGTCTTTAACCCACTGGCTAAATAATTCTGAGATTCTTCAACAGTGTCCAACTACATAATTACCTAGCAGAGTGAAAAGTTCTCAGTATATTAAAAAATATCCTGAATAGGATAAAATATTGATTTAGCAGCTATTTTAGTGGATAATATTATCCACTAAATTAAATTAAATGCATTCATTATGCATATAATTTTTCCAGATAACTCAGGATTATGTAAATTTGTTTGTAAAAAATGGAAGGAGCTGCTCATTCTCAACCTCTCTGAGACAGCCCACTTTCACACCTGAACGTGTCTCTACTCTAATAAACTCTCCTAGAATACTGTCATTCTCACCCTAGAGATAACCCACTTTCAGTTTATTGACACTGTATTCCTTTCCTAATAAACCTTGGTATCACTTTTACTACAAAAAAAAACCCCACAAGAAACAAAAAGAATGAGCAACTGAGACCATGAGCTTGATACTGGAATAAGACCCTAGTATGAGAGATTTACTGGGGCTTTTGCAGGAATGCAAAATGGGAAAAGAGGAAGGCACATTTTTCATCCCAGATGCCAAGCTCCATGTACTACATGAAGGATTCCATCCTCAGGGTAGAGCTGCTGAGACCTAAATGGATTTGAATCTTCCAGCATATCTTGGCCTTCCCCAGAGAGGTAAGGACCAAAGTGTTGATCACTATAAGCTCACTCACTCATGCGCAGAGGTTGATAAGGCAGGACATTGAAACCACTTTCACCAAAGCACAATTCCAAGCCTCAGAATTCGTGGCTTCCCTATCTGGATCGCAATTCTGCATTTTTGGGGCACTATACAAAATGTGTGCTCCTCAGGCCACCTCTTCTTGCTTAGTAAACCATTTCCATGTATCCACTTCCTTCTCTTTCTCCCTCCAGTAACCCTTCCCCATTCATTGTGTGCAAACCTCCAAATTCCACTGGGAATAAGTACCTGCATATGGTTCAGCTTTCTGCAGAAAAGGTCCTTCACTGGCTTAACTGACTACCAGTCTTTCTTTCTCTCTACCCCACTTCCCACAAAGTGCTCCCAAGTGAAGGCTCCTTGATCACTCACTCTACCTGCAGGAAAAACTTCTTTCAAGTTGCATCATTCAGTAATACCACAGTTCCTATGTTCACTGAGGATGCTGAAGCCTGGCTTAAAGTATCACCTCTTCCCCTCCCATTCTTCAATGTACATTTGGTTGTGACCTCTAGTTTCTCAACTAATTCTAATACAGCAACCTTTACCATCGTCCCCCTTTTTGAACATGTTCACTATGACTTTGGAAATTTCAAAGCAACAGTTCTACATTTGCTGGCCACAACCTCTTGTTCCTCCAGCTCTGCCTCTCCTGTACATAGCTCATGTCTATTCTCTATGCCACTGATTTTCCTTCAACTTCTCCTTTTCACAGACTCTCAGGCTGTCACCCCCAGTAAAGCAGGCACTCTTCACAGTGAATATGGGTCCAACAAATTTGTATCATAATGTTCCTCTTACAACATTCATTTTTGGCTTTACCTGTAAAAATCATACTGTTTCTAGGAAAGCAATTCCACCCATTATAACCCAAACTCAATTTCAAGAGAATTATTCTGAATTTTTAAGGCAAGATGTTTTAAATAATTTCAAGTACCAGGAAGCTACCAGCATCCTGAAAAATAGTAATTGCTCAAGTCTTTTAAGAAAAAGATTAGGATACCCAGTAATTATAGTATTAATTATTTATATGAAAATAATAAATTCTATTTTTCTTATCACAAATTCAGAATTAAGGGATAATAAAGTTGTACTGTTCTAGAAATCGGACAAAGGTATTTTAACATGTGGATTACTGAATGTCTTCAACAAAAGCTGTTAAAATATTGAAAAGTATTGTTTTAATTCCCTCAAATTAAAAAATACTTATTTTCCTAAAGATGTTTGGTGGCCTGACCTAATAGCCAATGTAACTACTTTCACATTCCAATGTAAAAATACTTTCTCAACATGAACAGAAAATTTGGGGATGATTAAAGAAAGAACCAAATGGCTTCCTTAAGTGGTGATGTTTCTAGTTTCCCTTGTAACAGTTTTCCAAATATCATGGCCTAAATAAAATGGAACTATTAAACTGAAAATATTTGCTAGACATCTAACACAAATCTTAAAAGTGTTTATTCAGAAGTCAGTCAACTCATGGAACATACTCATTTGTCCAGCACAGAATACTTACTTGCAAATTGTAATCTTGCAGAATTTTAACCAAGGAATCTCTCAAATTAGGAATCTCCATTCCTTCCTTAATACGGTGAATCAGAAGAATTGGGTCAACATGTGTGCCAATGTTGTTTAACAAACCAGTAATAAATGCTACAAAATACCACATAAAAGAATGAACGCATAAGGCAATCTTAGAATGCATTTTATTTGCATATAATGCAACTTTAGACCAAAAGTAACAAAAAAATGCTATTTCCTTCAAGGTAAGTGCTGAAATTACTTGTATTTCTAAATCTTCAACAGTCAATCTTCCTTCAACCTTAATTTAAACTCTCACGAGGCAACTTCCCAGGGCTGGAGGCACGCTTCAAGTGGTACAGTGCCTACCTAGCAAACTCTAGGCCCTAGGTTCAATCCCCAGTAAACTCCCCCCAACACGCAAGAGTTTAAAAACAGTTGAACAAATAATCTTTGTTCATACCTTTGTTAATACATCCGAAATATCATCTTCACTGTCAAAGGCAGTGCAAATAATATTTCTTGAGAACTTCCTATGGTCCAACTATTACTTTTACAATAAATGCCTCTGTATACAAACTAAAAACAAAACTATGCCAACCCAATCCTGAGACATATACTCCATTGGGTTGCCTCATGGGGACACAGTTAATAAGCTGGGTAACCGATTGTTCTTTATCACACCTAGGGGACAGAATGAGGAGGAGAAGTGTTGGGAATCCTTCCAACACTCCTGGCCTACTTTTATTACAGATACTTCATCATATTTTTAACCCAACGTATCCTGAGATAATTCTTACTCTAAATATAACTGGCTACATGGAGAGCAAAGAGCTCTAATCACAGATGGCTTCTCAGCTTACGTGGTTTGTCGATGGAATATAAAATCAGGTCTTCCCAGAGTTCTCCATCATCTTGCTCCTTGGCAAATTCGATTGCTTTATCAACATCATGTAATTCCTCCATAATCATCTTCAGGGCACTTCGGCTATTACCCATTCGGCCTAAATAAGGAGCAGTGAGAAAGAGATCATTCACTGAAAAAAGAAATGGCATGTCTGTTGTTTACAAAGCTTGAAAGTGAAGACAAAAGCATATTTTTTAAATGTGACACTAACATTTACTATCCATAACATAATGAAATAATACCCCATTGGTTGAGTGATTACTTTGTGCAGAATAGCCATTTAAGTGCCTCACTTGAATTATATCATTGAGTCATCACTAAGTTTCTATGAGAGATGTTATTACTACTGTTCCTATTTTACAGAAGAGGAAACAGAAATGCCAATAACTTACCAAGACCACACAGCTATTCAGTGGGGCAGAAACCAAATGGAAATGGAGCTGGAACTGGAGCTCAGGACTTTTGGATTCTTTTGGTAGATCTGTATTTCTTTTGGATGTTAGTATCTTCATGTTCAGATACAGTTAAGACTTTTTAAAGCCCTAAGTCATTTTGCCTCTTGGGGTGGCTCTGCATATCATTCTTCTGATACAAATGTAGACTTAATTATTAATGGGTAATTAACTCATTTCCTCCTCTTCCAAGTTCAGGGGAAAGGTTTTCAACAACCTTCATGAGGTGAATGTATTTACTAACTAACTATACTTCTATTAACTAATTATTTTTATATACTTTTCTCATTGATTTACTAGCACTTCAATAATTTTAATAGTTTCCATGAGCTGTTAATACAGTTCATTTAGGAAGCCTTACTCAGTGGAGGGCCAGGAACTGGCTGGCTGTAGGCTGTCACCTTATCCCTATCTCCTGTCTTGTACAAGGTTTAGTAAAGGATCTTGAGTTCTCACTGTGAGCCTCCCTTATCAACTGGCAAGAGCTGGCTTGTGAAGAAAATGATATTCCATTTGATATTCTTTCTATAGCTTTTGTTTTTCTTGCAAATATTATTCAGTTTATACTTTATAATATTCTTTGTGTGTGTGTGTGTGTGTGTGTGTGTGTGTGAAACTGGGATTTGAACTCAAGGCCCCACAATTACAAAGCTGGCGCCCACTGCTTGAGCCACACCTCCAGTCCCAGTTTATATGTTCAAAATGGTTATGTTTTTGTGCAGAATTTTAAAGTTTTTATAAAACCAGACATGGCTGTTTTTGTAAGTCCTCTACTGCTTCTAAGACATTATGAAATTATGACAAAATGTATTCCAACAGAGTATTTCTTGGTGCAATGCCATTGGTAGAATAAGTTGCAAAGAGAATCCCCAAAATATGATCAAGTAACAAAATGTAGCCCCCAAATACTTCTCTAAAGGAGAGCACATGATTGGATAATTCTAGGTCTGTTGCTGAGTACTTATGAACCTGCATCTGCATAAATAAGAGTACAAGATCTGGGATAATTTTCAACAGAGATTAAAGGAGCTAATGACAGTTAGTGTTTCATGAGAGAGACCAATGAAAGGGAAAACCCTACAGGGGCAGGTGGGAGTAATGCTGGAGAAACAGCGCAAAGAACTCTATGTTGTATGTCCCTAATACCTGTCCAGAGGAAATCTTCAGTAAAACCTGAATTCTTGAAGAATGTAAAAGATAAATTCTGTATCTTGGTATGCATGATACAAAAACTATGACAAATATGAGGTAATAACCAGAGGCATTAAAAAGTTCTCATAGTAGGGTCTGGTGGTACACACTTGTGATCCCAGGTACTCAGGAGGCAGAGATCAGGAGGATCATGGTTAGAGGTCAGCATGGGGAAAAAGTTAGCCAAGACCCCCATCTCAACAAAACAGCCAGGCATGGTGGCCTATGGAGACCATAGGTATGAGGATCTTGAGCCAAGGCTGGCCCCCAGGGTAAAGCTAAGAACCTACCTAAAAAACAACTTAAAACAAAAAGGGCTGGGGGTGTGGCTCAAGTAGTAGAGTGCTTATCTAGCAAGTGCTAGACTCTGAGTTCAAACCCCAATACTGCCAAACAAAACAAAACAAAAAGTTCTCTTTCTCCAAAATTCCATATTCAACTGTACTTCTTTCAGTTATTTAGGGTGTGCGTTTTGAAAACGAAATTTATTTTCCACCAATGTGTGGTAATAAAGGGTAATTATAATTTAAAAAGAAACTGTCAAGCTATCTATAATTTTAATCAGTTTGTGAGGTATGATGTAGTTTCATCTGTTGTTTCTTTTGTTTAGTATACATCACTAGTATGTTCTTTTAGCAGCATTTATTCAATAACTCTTCCTTCTCCATTGTGTTCAGAAGTATTTTTACATGTATTAAATTTTTGTACAAACTAGGCTTGAATTTCTGTACTTTGTTCTGAATGTACATTCACTCTTGCATAGTCTACATCACACTGTCACTGTTTCTTTGTTATTGGGACCAAAATGAATAAAATCTACTTACTCAGAAGATAGACTGTCTCTTCTACAAAGTTTCTTTGTTGACAGATCTCAAGAGCCTTCAATTAAAGCAGGCAAAAATGTTGTTATGGGTTACCAAACAAGAATAAATGTTAATAGACTTAAACCTACAAGCTTGAAAGAATTTTTCCATTTCTTCCCTTTACCAACAGTACAAAGTAAACAAAAGACAAATCCCCATTGTATATAAATATCACATTTTCTTAATCCATTCATCAGTACTGGGGCATCTTGGCTGTTCTCCTACAAAATCAGAGAACAGGAGGGCAGAACAAACCTTGCCCAGTGGGAGGGCTAATACTAGTAAAATCCAAGGAAAATGTGACAGTGAATAGCATTTCTTTATTGGAATGTACATTCTAGTGTAAAGAGACAGTTGAAACAAGTGACTGTATGTTGGGTGAGAAGCAGTGCTGTGAAGAAACTTAAGGTAGCATAAAGAGAGAAAGCTTGGTTAGAAAGGCCCTTTCTTTTAGCACCTTGTTTTCTGTCTTTACTCATAAGATGGTCTGAGTTGCTTCAAATGTGTTCTCAGTTAAGTTGTGTAGGATTCAGTAATTCCCTCAGAGGCAATAACTACATTTACCAGTAAGATCCAAGGAGATTTGCTGGATTGTATGGCAGGTCTGTTTTTAGTTTTTTAAGGACTCTCCATACTGTTTTCCATAGTGGTTGTACTAGCTTACATTCCTGCCAGCAGTATATAAGGGTTCCTTTTTCCCCACATCCTTGCCAACATTTGTTGTCTTCGGTGTTCTTATTCTAACAGGAGTAAGGTGGAATTTAACATAATTTTGATTTATATTTCCTTTATGGCCAGGGATGGTGAGCATTTTTTCATGTCTTTTCACAAACTTCTATGTAACCTTCTTATTTCATTGCTCTTCTCATACCCAAAGACAAGAATCTTCACAGTGACCTACAGCCTCGCCCTGCCTTCCTAGTATAGCTTCATCTCTCCTGCTCTGCTCTTGCCTGAACTCACCCTAGCAAAGACTGCAGACAAATATTTCCATGGAGCTCACATTGGGGCAGATCCTAAGCATTTCTTCCAGCTGTGCCAGGCACATGGCTTTATAACACTTCCCCAGGGTAGCTAACTTACTTACCAGTTACTCTTCATTTCCCTCTACTAGGACTATGTGCACACTAAGCCCGGTGCTTTGCCCAATGCCTGGCCCATAAGTTTGCCATAAGTATTTTTTAAAGACAATGAGCAGGCAGAAAGGGTTTCAGGAGCAAGTTTGCTGGGTTGCATATTTAGTTATTTAGAAACAACCAGCAAAGCTTGCTTTAAAAACAAGGATAAAAAGAATAGCTTTGGTTATTAGCTTTTTCCACTCAGTGATCTATCTTGGGAAATAACAGCAGGACCTGGTTTTGATATTTTGATTTTTGACTTAAAATCTTTTTGTACATTATGTATCTTAAACTAGCTCAGGGACAGAAAGAAGCTGACAATAGAGACAGATGTAGCAAAACAAGTAAACAAAAAGAATCACCTTAGTTTAGAACTGCAATGAAAATAACTGAAGGACACAATCAGGAGGAAATACACAAATCTGATGACACAAGACTCCTTTGCAAATTAGGTGACACAGAGAGCTAGTTGTCCTCCAATATCCCTTTCCCATTTCTTTCTTAAGAGTAAGATCTTAAGTGGGTGGCTATGTGACTGCCTAGGTTGAAAAAGACAAAATATAAAACGTATTTCCCAGCCACCCGACCAGGAGCAGAGCCACAAGATGGATGTCCACAGAGCTACAGAAGTAGCACAGAATGGTGGCTCTAGGACCTTCCTTTGCAGCACTGCATGAGAACTTCTGGGCTTCCTCCTTTGCATTCCTTCCATCTAATTTGCTTTAGGAAACATGAACAGCACCACCTGACTTCATGAAGTCAAGGTTATACAAGGTGGAGGAACAAGAGAAAAGAGCTCTGCTCTTTAACCATGTGGCATGCTTCTTCCAATAGGGCCTTCCATGCTACTTTCTTTAAGCCACCATTATTTCAGAATTTTTATCACTCATAACTGAACCTAATCCTAGCTATCACTTAGGTAATTCTCATTCACCTTTATTAAATATGGTTTGCATACCCCTCTACTGTCTTGACTCTCAATCATCAGTGTAAACAAGAGAATTTTATGAACCAAGCCTTGTATGCACATATGAATAACAAAACAGTAAAAAAAAAAAAGAGATACCACTTCAGAGACAGGAAAGACAGGTGAGAAGTTAAGGGGAAAAAGAGGAAACCACCTGAAGTCAGAGAGCCTACGACTATTTAGAAGTCACTGAGAAACCACTGAGTAATTAGATTTGTGCTGTTGCTGGAGATAGACACAAATGCTGTACAGTTTATAGTATGGCACAGTGTGACTGTTACTCAGAGAGAAACAGAACACTGTCATACAGTATAGAGTGTAGAGAAACACTGAATGAGTAAGCTGCTTAAATAATTATTACTAAAAGGTATTCATGAATCAACTTTGTACTTGAAAATCCATTTACATGCTAAAGTGCCATTCAAAAGTTTCAAACAGACTCACCCCCTTTTCTTGGGTACATGAGAATGCTTGAGAACATGCTGGTCTTAAATAACAAGAGAGTTTCCAGTTTGGAGCCTCACCTGGATTTACTGAGACAGTGGTCACTTGCTCTTCCTGGTTATTAAAATTTAAATTGATTAAAGTTAAGTTACAATTCAGAGACTGAGTCATACTAGTTGCATTTCAAATACTCAATAGTGCCTAGTGGCTACCATGCTGGACAGAGTAGATTACAGGACATTTCCACCACTGTCACTGATGCTGTAAGTTCTTACTGTAAGTACTACTAAAAATGAAAATTCACATGGGAAGAGATGTCCAAAGGCATGTTTGAAATTAGGAACAGTTAGAAATGCAAGAGGATATGTACTATCAAGTTTAAAGATATCACATTAAATATTTTATGAGTAGTTCTAAGTATCTTAAAACTATCCTCACAAACAACAGACTCGAGAAATGTTGATTAAAATATAAAAACAAAGCATTTCTAGTGCACAGAACCTTTCTATTATTGATGTGACTGTGGTCTATGAGCATGTTTCCTTATTTTAGAAGTCTGAGTGTTTCTGGACCATGGTGCTCCCTCTTGAGGAAACAGCAGGAAATCTAAGATATTTTACAGCACAAACATAAAACACACACAAATGCACACCTGTGGAAAAGGAGAATCACAGCAAAAAGGCAAAATAATGACATAAGTTGAATAAAAAAATGTGAAGGAAATATTTCAATTCTCCTTTTCCTAAATGAGTATAAAGGTGAGAATGAGAAAAATTTGAGGGTAAAAATAGGAGTCTTATCAAGTGTAAATTAAATAATGACTTCTACCTAGTCTTGCCCCTGTCATCTTTTAGCCAGTCTCCTCTTGAAGCCCTTTAATGAAAGTACATGAACTCTGTGTCCCAGCACATTCCTCCAAATTCATAGACATTGCCACCTTGTGAATGCTACTAGGCATGAGAAAGATTGTACATGCAGGTATACATCTGCCAAGGCAATAAAATTTGTAATGACTCGTAGGAGTAATACAAAGAGATTTACAAAATGAGGTCCACCAGCTATATGCCACATTTGGACATTACAAGACAAAGGACAGTTTAGAAGATGCTTGCAACATTAAGGAATATGGAGCGTCTGAAGCCTGAAGAATCTTTGCTTGCTATCGTGGGAGGACAGGTGTGGAGCCCAAAGTCAGGACAGCATGCCCCATGCCATGGCCCCTGAGCTTCTCAGCTTCAGGCTGTGGGCTGTTTCTTTCAACAACCCAAGACAGCTTGTCAGGCATAAAACCAATCTATGCAAATAAGTACACTTTTAGAGATTATGTGAAGCAAGGGACATGAGAGAAGAGTGAGTGTTATAAAGCTAGGTGTGGTGGCTCATGCCTACAATCCCAGCTATTCAGGAGGCAGAGACTGGGAAAACCATGGCTCTGGGCCAGTATAGGTAAAAAGTTAGTGAGATCACATCAAAACAACTAGGCTGGTGCGGTGATTCATGCCTATAATCCCAGCTATAGGTAGGAGGATCACAGCCAGCCCAGGCAAAAAATGTGAGTCAGTGGCAAAAAGGGCTGGGACATGGCTCAAGTCATAGAGCACCTTCCTAGCAAGTGCAAGGCCCCAGGTTCAAGTTCCAGTACTGCAAAAACAAAAAAGATGGCAGAAATATGAGGGATTTTTATTGTCCTTTAAAAATTTCTGTAGCTGTTATAAATTCCTACAAAGTCTAGAGAGTCTTTAGAATGGACAATCCCATTAACAACATGAGATTAATTTTGAATTTAAGAACCATGGTGATTTTTAAATCTGAAACACAAGTACTGGATAACTAGATCCCTAAAGGACTTCCAATGTTCAGTGTCTCCACAAGTTTCTGGCTAATTACTATTGATTTTGGATTTCAATCAGTTCAAAGTAAGGTTGACCTGGGATCTTGAAGATTTCACTGGTTGCCAATTTGCAAACACTCCTCCTTCAACCATTGCCCAATCCCAGCAAAGGCAAAAAAAACCCCAAAGAGGAAGATGTGAAGTCTGCTGAAAGAGAGATTTCTCTGGGGAGAGGAGGTGTTATTAATTTTATATCATATTTGCTATGAGTCTCTCTGAAGACAAAACAGGTAGACCTCTATTTTGTGACTATCACTCACTATTAGCAATCCGGGACACCTTTTACTGGGGCATCGACTTTGTCATTCATGAGTTGGTACAAATGGTAGCATCTTCATTTTGCAAGTAAATCTAAGTGCAATAGTTTCTAAGATGATTAAGTATATATAGAATTCTTATTTCAAGGAAAAGGAATGAGATATTTTAAGAGGTGATAAGTCCTGAATATGTTTTTAGGACAGCTTTGGGTACCTGAATGAGGGTAGAGTAACATATTTTTGCCATACACAAATTTCCCACAATGGACCCTGACAAAGAAGTACTCTAATGAATAAGTCTTCCATCTCAGTGACTTACTAACATTAAAGCCCATTTAGAGAGCTCTAGAAATGTGGATTATTGACTCAATTCTTTACCAACTAAGACAAACTCTTTATCTTTGAAGAATTTACAGGTGAGTGGGAAAGAGATTAATGTGTTAAAGAATACAGAAGTACACAGGTGGATGTTTAGATGTGTGCAGGACCTAAACTTTGGCTAAACAAACCTGATTCCTCACTGCAGCAACTACTTCTGGCTCTGCACAGTCTGCCTCCCTCCAGACTCTGCTCCAATACCATCTTAACCCTGGGAAAGATGCAGACTAGTATAACTTCAGCTTATGGTTGCCGAGTCCTAACCCTGGACTAAACCTTTATTCCAATTAAGCCTGGCACAGAAATGCCTGAGCTCCTCACAAAAGTCTATCCCAGCAGGACTCCTAATAAGAAGGCCTGGAAAACCTTTTGTATTGAAAACAAGAGGGATGGATGAACAGAGGTAGAAAGACAAGAATGAAAAATAACTATTTGATAATGACGACTGCTTCCCCTGACGTGTACATATGGGGAGTCTGTGCCTTACCTTTTCAAGTGGGCAATGAGTGCTGTCTCGAAGAAAGGGAAGTAAGTTTGGTCGATCATATTCAGCATAAAGACTGATCTGTTTTTCATGGTAGCGTTGCCCCTTATGATGGTCTCTCTTAAAGAGCTTGTGCAAATACTAAAAGGAACAAAGATAAGCCATGAAGGTTAAAGTAAAAACATAAGATATTGTCAATTTTACTATTTTCAATTGTAAACAGCTTCCACAGAGAGGTGGGTGAGAATTGGTCTACAGGAAAAAAACTGGGTGATGGAGGAGTGGGACAAAGAATACCTCTTGGAGAACAAGGACATTGTGACTCTTTCTAGAAGTTTCCTTCTGTGATCTGGCTAATCTTAGTTAAGTCATTACTCTCTCTATGATTCAACTTTTTTATCTACAAAAAAATTTCATTGGGGTGTTGTGAGGATTAAATGAATTACCATTTGTAAATTACTCAGAACCAAACCGCACTGTAAGATGTTAACGATAGTGGTTGTTAATATCATCATTATATGCTTTGCCTCAGAAATAAAACATTTCCTAGATGATAAAAATTCTTTTTATATAAAAGGGAGCAGAGTCATGGAATAAGAGTATATTCTTTAAAAACTCCAGTAGCAAGAGATAAATTAATTCTCATGTGTTCTCTTGCTTTTTGAGTCTTAATGCAAACTATGTTTGCAATAAAATGATGCCTGTACTGTGACATCAGAAAACAAAAATTAAAAAGTAAAAAATCAAAGAGTTCAGCCATTTCTTACTCTAGCTGTCTAAAAAAGCTGATGAACTTCAAAGGAAGTGAATATTTCATTTTCTTCTTACAGGCAAGATTAAGTATATCAATAAATCAGAAACTGATATTCAATGTTTAGTTAATGTTAAATGTAAACAAAACCCCCCACAACCCACTAGAAGAAGAAAGACTCAATCACACCAACCACATCAAATGCATTCACACCTTGAGCAGTTGTAATCAGGTGGATTGGTTCATAATAGAGTATATTAGCCTGCCCTGGAGGCTGTGACTGTCCATGAGTTAGCTGATGTTTGATACTGGCTGCTATATATAGTTATGACATATGTATGCACATGAAGAACTACTACTTGCACTAGCCATGCTCATCTCCCTAAGGCAAGAGGTTGGGAAGAGTACCCAATGAGCTTATCTGCCTGACTAAGGTCTGATAAGAACCACTGCCAGTCCAATGGTGCTGGGGTCAGTGTGTGGGCTAGGACAACTCAGCTGTTTCCCAGAAACAGCACAAACAGAACATCTCTGTCACATCTGCTGAGCCAAATTTATAGAGATATTACATTGCCTGGCAGCAAAGATGAGCCAGCTTAGTGTGGGCTCTGCTACCATTTCACCATTGCACTGACTCTACTGTAACATAGACAACCACTACCCATAACTCTGTCTCATGGCTTAAGCAGGCAAGAAATCATACTTCATAAACAAATTTATAAGGTAGCTGGGAGAGAGTGGAGCCTTGCTTGGGTAAGTAAATAATCTTGAGATTTCTGATCATAAATAATCTAACAATAACATCAGCACAACTCCTTCCTGAGCCAAAGAGTAACAATAGAAAACATAACTCACATTCCTATCTTGGGAGTCTTTAAGAGTTTCAATGTACAGCTGACTTTTGAATAGAATACTCTGCTCCTTAAGCCTTCTCCTTGAGTGCAAAGAGATTGGTGAAGATACAGTGTGCTCATTGTATCTGATACCCATTTTCCTACTGGTACAATCCCTATGATCACTGAAGTCTTTTCTTATATACAATTTTTGAAGGATACAGAAAGTATCTATTCCTGATTTACTCTAATGACACAATTCATGAAATCAAAGTACCCCCAAGGAAATCTAGACTAGCAGGCCTTTATAACACAAGCCACCAAGACCACGCAAGAGGTGAGGTTAGATAACGTTAATGTGACTATTCTGTGGCCCTAACACAGAACATGTGTGTAGTATTTCCTTGGTATCTACAGTGCACTCTTGGTGTTTGTTGTAATTTATGACCCGGTTATATTATAGCAACCACCAAGAGTAGGAACTTACTTCTAAGCAGAGTATGGTAACACAAAATGACTGTAACATTTTAAAATGTAACTCAATTTTAAATCAAAGATCAAGTGCTTGTTATGCAATTAATCCCTATCCTTGATTCACAGCATATGCCACATTTTAGTAATTTCAGGGTGTTGTTTGTAATCAAACCTCCAATAGGTAACATCAATGCAAAGCTTATTGATGAAAAGTTCTCCCACCAATACTGAAAGATGCTTTGCTCTAATGTTCCATTAAAAGGCAAAAGAAGAAGACTGTAATACTCACCACATGCTGCAACTCTGGTCTGTCTTCTAATTCTTCCACTACTTTTTTAATCTGGGGAAAAAGAAAAATTAAAACATAGAGTTACGAAGACACAAATACAGCTGCAAAATTATCAGATAAACATCTCTTCCTTAAAACTAAAGTGGTTCTAGAAATTCAACTAGTAACACTAACTATGATTTAAATGTCACTTTTTCTCCATTAAAATTCATGCCCACACTTGTTCCCTAATGAACCTCTGAAAGGTGCTGGGACCTTAAAGAGGTAGGGCCCAGTGCGAGGTCAGAACTGCCCTCATAAAGAGATTAATGCTCATCTCTTGAGTGGATTAGGTCCCACAAGAGTTATAAAAAAGTGAGCCTGGCCTTCCTAGCTGTCTTGCCACATGACTTCTCTCTTCCATAAGAGCAGTGCTGGCCCCTCACAAGTGCTCTTCTCCCTCTTCCCAAATGATGCTCAGCACTGTCTTGCAATGTTGCCAGTGATACTATCGCCAGATGCAGCCCCGTGAACATGGACCAGACCTCTTGTCTTTAAAATTTTCTGTTACTAGCAACAAAAAATAGACTTTAAAAGACACTTACTGAAATTTTATCTTCATTGTCCAAAAGCATATCAACAGCTTTCTGAAATATAAGAAGCAGTAGTCAATGAAACCTGCTACATAAGAATAACAACTGTAATGCTGCGTGTGCAGTACCACAGCTGAAGGTGGAGAGCTTACTCCTACATTGAGGAGCACTTAGGTTCCCAATAGCCCTTATGTAAAATGACATTGGTAGAAAAATGCAGTTTGAAATGTGTCTCAATCTGAGGTCCATCTGCTTTGCATATTACTAAGATGGTGTGTTGCTGTAACTTACCAAATATAAAACATCCTGACATATTAAAAACATCCAACATATTCTAGCCTCCTCAGATATCTTCACAAGTTCTCATGTGACTCTCAGAATCTATGGAGAGCACCTTATTACCACAGACATAAGGGGCTGACCTTATGTGGAGAAGAGGGTTAAGAGTCAGAAAAAAAGATGTCTGAAGTTTCATAATGATACAAAGCTTGTGAACTTTTAGAATTTACTTTAGCCATCTTTAACATGCATGAAACACAAATAAGTTTATGTCAGGAGGTTGTGGGAAGACAGCCAACAAGATTAAGCTGCACACAGAATGCCAGGGTGCTATTCCAACTCAAGTTAGAATACAAAGAACCGGTCTGTTCCGAGCTTGATTTTTGTTTTCTGAAAAATGATGGTGTTAGAATAGATTATTCTATAGGTCTCTTCTAATGACAAAACTCTTATTTCTTAACTTTGGTTCAACTCTCGAATAACAGTCTAAGCTCACTCATCTTTTCTCACAGCTGCACATAACTAGGCTCTCAAGGCGCATGACATGGAGCAGGGGAGACTAAAATTAGTTTTTATATAGGCTTCTCATGATTCAAAAAAATTGGATGGTTCCTTGTAGACATGCAGTCCCTATAGACTTGACTCAGCATAAAAAATGGGCTGAAGCATCTTGGAGAAGAGCTGGCTCTATTTAAATTCATTTGTGGAAAGTATCACTGCACGTAATACCCCTAATATAGGATAGTACAATTGAAACGCGCACTAATCCTTTTGGAGCTTTTAGAGTTGTACTTTTTGGTTTACTTAAAATTTTAGTTTACTGAATAAGAACACTGTGCTTTGTGAACCTCATTATTTTTATCACCAGCACTTAGAATTAGATTCCTTTTTAGAGAGAATGAGGGAGAGAGGAAGAGAGAGGGAGAGGAGAGACTGACCTCTTTGTGTTGTGGAGGTTTGGGTGGGTCCCCTCATTTGTCAAACCATTATTAAAATTTCAACTACAATAAAATAACACATTCCACATGTCCTGGACCTTATGCTGGATCAGTGAATGCCAAGGAATAAAATGCTAATTAAGTGGATCTAAACAGAAGTTCATTTAAATTTTAATTCTGGGACATAGATGGGAGTGCTAAGTAAGTCAAAACATGTGCTAAGTTTCTTTATTTCAATAAATTATTTTATTAAAAAACTACTTTATATACACACACCTTTAAGAAGTTTCACATAAAACTATAATAGCTTTTACAGAATAATCACATCAAGGAAAGGATTCCTGAATGCTGGCTACAAAAATAACTTATCTATGTCCAGCCAGGGCTAGAGTCATGTGGCTCATAGATAGACTAGATAGATAACTAATGATTAAAACATTTGGAATAGTAAAAATAGTTTGTCAGTACTAATAAGAAGCACATTACCTCTGAGTCAAAGTCCATTAATAAAACTATTTTATCCTTGATAGAACTGAAAAGATTGTGCTTGTGGATCAATTGGAAAACATCTTTATGTCTTAATGTTAAGTATATCTCCAGAGCATTGCCATAGTTTTTGTCATAGGTGTACCTGGTAATATAAAATTTTTACATTAATATTCATCAACAGCTCTAATTAAAACACATAAACATGAATTATATTTATAATATTAAAAACTGAAACTTTTGTTCAGAGAAAAAAGTTAACTTATTTTTAAAAAGTATTTCTTAATATTTAATAATTCATGATCCAAAAATACTTCGTTCTCTGAACCAGGCCTTTCATCTCACTAAAATTTCAGAAAATTTATAATATTCAATTTATAATTCTTTTCTTTATTGGGGATTCAGGCTCAAAAGTTTTACAGACATCCATATACCAGACAATGAAGCAATGATCTATAAGGAAGGAAATGGTCATTTTAATAGAAAAAAACAGTTTAAATTTTTACAAGCAGTAGTCAGCTGACAAATGGGTTATATCCCAAAAGCTTAACTGCAAGGGGAATGTATAAAATTGAGTTGTGTTTTTCTGTTGAAACAATATTCTCATGTTGATCAAGTCCCTACACAAGGCTCCTTAGGGTATATCTTATCCCTGCATCACAGGTATCTGCACAAAGGCAGATGAAAATTCCCAATAAATATGAAAACTATTAATCAAACTTTCATTTGCTTCCATTTGTGTGTCACCTTCTATTATGACATCTTACTTTCAAGTTTGGAATTATCCCATAAGGAATTGCTACTTGTGATTTTATAGATAAAGAGCCTGGTGTTAGAGAGATTAACAAACTAGAAGACCCAAGAATAACAGAACCCAGAGCCTGGCTCACTGTAAACTATTTTGCTTGAGGGCCTAAAACCTGGCGCCTTCTATCTCCTAACCACTCCCTGACATCATGGGTTTGTGCTCCACTCCTCTGGGAAGCAGATCATGTTGCAGTTGTATAGTTTCACACATGCACTTATCTTCTGATTGTTTGAGATTTATGAAAGGTTTGTAAAATGAAGAGTGATTATAGGAAAATGTATAAAAAGGCATCCCCGACCCCATTCGGAGTTCCCTAAATGTAAAGTGTGAGAAACTTTTCAACATAAATTGATTTGGAAAAAGCAGCACAAAAATATACTCACAATTCTGCCAGGGTTTTAAGTAAAGTCTTGTTGTGACTATCTTTCTTCAGGTGATCCCGGACTGCTTGAACTATTACTGAATTGTTATACAGATCTCCAGGCCATTCTCGGACCAGTGTAGCAAAACCCTAACCAAAGGCAACAGCAGAAAAAGAACATACTTTAAATAGGTGTGAAATTATGATGTACGTATTTTGGTTTCATCCATGGTCTGTGACTATAACCCCCTCCCTCAGGCAGCCACAGAAGCTCAGATGGTCCATCCTAAGCCCCTCTGTATTCCAGAGGGGAATTCCTGCCCCATACCCATAAGGAAGGCATGCTGAACTGTATGACCAGACAGGCTGCACTGGGTTTCCCACACAGTCTGTGAGCAGTTATTCCTGTGTAATGAAGGCTCCAAGAAAACCCCAAAGGGCTGGGTTCAGAGAGCTTCTGGACAAGCAAGCACATGCAGGTTCCCAAAGGGTGGTGTACCCAGAAAGGGCTCGAGGCTCTGTGCCCCTTCCCACACGTCTCACTTTATATTCTTTATAGTAAACTGGTGACAGGTTTGCCTGAGTTTGATGAGCTACTAGAACAAATTAACCAAACCCAAGGAAGGGGTCGTAGAAACCCTAACTTACAGCCAGCTGGTCAGAAGCAAAGATAAAATGACCTGGGCATGTGACTGGTAAGCCAGGAGTGGCAGGTAATGTTGGAGACTGAGCCCTCATCCCATGGGTCCAGAACCACATCCAGATGGGGAGTATCAGATTACAGGACACCCAGTTGGTGTTTAGCTGTAGAACTGATAGCCTGCTTGTGGGAGGGGGAGACCCTACACCTTCTGGGGTCACCTGAGTCTTCTGTGCTGATTGCTATAGTGTGAGAAGAGAGGAAAATGGTTTGCTTTTCCAACACAAAAATAGATAAAAACCCAAATAAATAATGCTAAAGGTACTCGTTTAACAGAATAAATAATTTTATGATTAAAACTTGTCAATAGAGTTCAGACACAGTAGCTTATAATCCCAACTACTCAGAAGGCAGGGATAAGGAAGATCACAGTTTGAGGCCAGCCTGGGCAAAAAGTCAGTGAGACTCCATCTCAATAAATAACCTAGGCATGGCATTTCACACCTGTAATCCCAGCTATGTGGGAGGCATGGGTAGGAGAACTGTAGTCTGAGGCCAGCCCAGGCAAAGGTACAATACCCTATCTGAAAATCAACAAAAACAAAAAGAACTGGACGCATGGCTCCTGTAGTAAAGTGCTTGTTTAACAAGCACAAGGCCCTGAGCTCAAATCCCCATACTGCCAAAAAGAATAAAAAAAGAGAAAATGTTGGTCAACAATACTTTGTCACTTTGTAGACTTTGGGCTTCAAGATAGTAAGGAGAAGTGTGGAGAATTACTGTGTGATAATCTCCATTTATTACTCCCAGGAAGTAGGCAGTGTCATCTACTTCTGTCTTATGAATTGTGTGGCCATGAAAGGTACCATTTCTTCCATAAAGTACTGCCACAGACAGAGTGCAGTCGGACTTGCTATCTCTACTCCTCTGAACTAATTTTATAGCATTGGGATGGCATCTCTTAACGTCTTTCGGATATTATCTAAGTCACCTGCTTTCCCTACCACCTTCTATGCACTCTTCTAGTTCTGGGCTGCTATGTGCAAAGACAGCAGGTGCAATTGCACATGTGGCCCTGCCTGGGTCATCTTACCTGTAATGAGTCACCATCTTTGCCCTTTTTCCACTGTGCCTCTAGCCCTGGTTCATGTTGGGATTCAGTATTTTGGCAAGACTTATCCCCTAGCTCTTATCCTGGCTACTTTTGGACCTCAAATTCTGTGGTTCAGAAAGAAAGCCCAGGTCGACTGATTTGATTGTTTCCCTCCACATCTGATTCTTGGCCAGTAGCCCACACACTATCTACCTTCCTAATTCCTAACTTTAGTGCTCATTATTTTATAATTTGTGAAGGTGATAACTTACTGATCCTTGACAAACTTTGAGGGGAGGAAGAAAATAGACATAGTTAAAAGACAGCAAAGAAAACTAAAAATGTTCACATTATTGAAAAAAATCCTCTTATTAATATTAGATAACTCCACTAATGCTTCAATGAGCAACTTTGAATTGACTTAAGTCAATCACTTAAGTGATTAAACTTTGATTGATTTAAGTTTAGAAGTGAAAACAGTGTGGTAGAAATTGTTTTTGTAAAGCAGCAGGATTTCAATAGAAGAAAACCATTAAAGAACAAGCAGTATTGTCTCTACTAAAGTGCCATCCAATTTTGATTAAAGTAACCATCAGGAAGGATGGCAAGAGACCAGAGCAGACCACACATTTTCCACTTAAATTGTAACCTTCCTGCATATTAGCATGCTTTCATTTTCACTTTAGAGATTTGGGAAGGAGATTTAATCAGGACACAAAATATTCACTGAAATAAAATGTACTATGGATCAAGTTTCTCTTTTCTTAAGACCTTGTGTAATGTGTAAGATGAAGTAGCATGTAAAGACTTCCATCAATATTGGCAGCTGTCAGTAGCCCCAAGACCAGGAAAAATATTGCTCAAGGAAAGATGAAAATCTGCCTCCATTTTCTCTTCTCCCTTTTCTATACAACAGCCTCAAACCATGGACAGCTTCTAATATACAACAAAACACAATGAATAGTCACAGTGTGTGATCAAAACATGATGACTCCACCATAACCTGAAGTAAACACTTATTACATTTCACATTAGGCTTCTCACTGCTTAATTGGCTTCATGCACCCTTGAATAAATGTGCTACCTAAGAACTATTGATGAAATCAATCTGTGGCCATAGCGATTATTTAGAGGACATAGCCATCAGAGAACTGTCATGATAGAGTAAGCAAGGGTTCAGAAACCTACAGTGCCTATCACAGTAAGTAAAAGGTTAGAAGTATTCGTTAAAGAAATGCCACAGAAATCATGACATTTTTAGCAAGGCATGGTGGCACACACCCGTATTACCAACTACTTGGTTGGAACAGAAGTTTGAGGCCAGGCCTGTATTTTGTATTTATGTATGAAGATAGAACAATGAAACTTGTTAAAGTTATTCTAATTGGGGTGGGGGGGGAAGAGGGAGAATGATGGAGGGGTGAATCCAACTAAGATATATTGTTAAGTATGTATGTAAATATCACTATGTATCCTCTGTATAATTATTATATGCAAAAAAAAAATGAACTTACTAGGGGTGAAGGCATAGCTCAAGTGATAGAACATTTGCCTAGCATCCTCATGGCCTTGGGTTTAATCCCCAGTACACCAAAGAAAGAGAAAGAAATCATCTTACTTTTAACATGCTTATACATTTGTCACTGATATTATGAATACATATGAAAGACATATGTATATGATTGGAAACCCCAAACAAGTCATGAGACATCATTATCTCCAAAATAATCATATTGCTTCCTATCTTTTTAGGATGAAAAGAAAACTGAGAAGTCAATATTCCTTTTTTCTTGGGGGTAAGCAGAAGTGGGTCTCATTATTTTGCTCAAGTTGACCTTGAACTCATAATCCTCCTGCCTCCAAAGCAGCCGGGATTACAGGCACATACCACTGTGCCCAGTTTAGTTTGCTTATTTATTTTGTAACCTGATCTTTGGTGCTCTGTTAGCATAAAATAATCATCTACAAAACGTTTGATCAAAGGCTGTAATGGAATACGTACTGCTATTTGATTCACTATGTAATACTTAAAAACTAAAACCTCATTGAGAATAATGGAGGCTAAAATATGATATATAAGATCTCAACATAATAAAAAATATAATGATTTAATAGTTTTGACCAGGCAGACATCCTAAAACATTCAGGAGACAACAACCACCCACTTGAGGCTGAAGTCATGCTCATTACTTTCAGTCTTAGTCAAGTTTTTCAGATTTAATATGAATCAATAGGATAACTTTGATGACACACAATTTAAGCAGCTAAAGAGTCAAGCCATGTGGAAGAACTGTGATAGAATCATAAAAATAAAACTTCTAAAAATTTTTAACATTGCTCATTGAGAACAAGTAAATATGACCAAGGCTGAATAACATACCTCATAATCACTTTCCAAAAATTCATGTAAGATCATTTCATAGATGAGTGGTTTCAGGACTGGATCCCCTCTTGGCAAATAAGGACTAATAGCCTAGGGAAGAAAAGGAAAAAAAGAATTTTTTAAAAACTGGCAAAACAAAACTATGTTCCAATTATGCCAAAAACATAAATATATAAATATATGTATGTATGTATGTATGAATCAATGAATAAAAACTGCATAGGTCAGCCTTTATTTCTCTGTTTCTCCTGGTTAATTAATGAAAATAGAAATAATAGGAGAGTGAAGGCCACATAGACTATAAAAGTCAACTTCTTCAGTAATCAAAGTAGAGGTCATCTATGTTTCTCTCCTACTGATATAATATATCAGTCTTTAACAACTCAATCATCTTTTAAAATTAGGGAAAATATATCTTGTGTTCCTCAAATATTTCCAGTGCTGTGTTCAAAATCAAATTTCCAGATATTGTTCAGTTATCCTCTAGTGTTGTACATGTACATCCATGATCATATTTGGCATTAAGGACATGGAGCCAGCGTCACCACCCTAAAGGAGCTTACAGCCCAAGAAGGAAAATATGTAGACACTGAAACAGATCATGTGAGAAGGGTGCAGAGGAGACTCTTACCCACCAGGGCCCTGGATCTACTACACAAAAGAAGGAAAGGGCATATGACAGGGAACATGAGCATGAGCACACAGCCAGGTGTACTCGCCTGTGTTCAGGGAGGTCAGAGGGGCCCAGAAAGGCAAGAAGGAGGTCACTGAGACCAGAGAGAAAGGGATGTGAGGTAATGAAAGGAATTCCAATTTTATCCGATGGGCAGGAAGGAAGCAGGGGGAAATAGGAAAGTCAGGGTCCAGATTTATTTTTTAAACAGCTGATTCTAGGCTAGGGTTCTCCCTGTATCTCAGAAGGCCCTTGCAATGGCTCAGGAAGGGTGAAGGCAGTGGTATCTGAGAGAAAGAGGAGGGGCCTGACTGGTACTGACATGGTGAAAATGGTCAGAAATGGAGGTTAAATGGAAGAAGTAGGTGAGTAGCACATTCTTATCAAGAACAATGGCTTTGAGCTATGAAACATGGTGTAAGTCATAAACACAGACGCAAAGAAGAATGACCAAATTAGGGCAGGATATGGATCTATGCTAACTTACGTTATCCTTATCAACAGTATCTATAAAGAGAAGAAGTCATCACATACAATTCATAAGAGGTGTCTGGGTTATGATGCTGTCAGGTAAACAGGGCCACAGGACTGGACAGTCTCCCAAGAGCAGTCTAATGAGCCCAAAGAGAAATGTCCTTGGAGAACAGCCAGGGAAGAGTGACACTGATATGGTAAGCACAGGAGAAGCTATAGAGGTGATAAGATAAACAACTAGGACTTATGAAAAGCATGATCAAAATCCCAAAAGAGCATTCAAAAGCCCCATAAATAATGAATAACTTTAAAAATGTTTTAAACATAAGAATATTTCATTGATTGATAAAGATGTTGCACACTAGGTTTATTGATAAAAAAGTAGCAATTATTTATTAGAGCTACATGGTCAAATTTTTCCATTTGTCTTCTAGCAGATAAATAATACTTAAGGGTTGAAGATGTAGCTTTCACATACAACTGCTTAGCATGTGTGAAAAGAAATCTGAAAACTGCAGTCATTCTTCAAAAATTTGAAAAAGTCTTATCTTACAATTGACTGAATGAAACAATACTTGTTTACCAAAATCATTAAAAAAGAACAAGAAAATTAGACATAAACAGAGAAAACAGGTAAGAAACTGAACACACCGTGTAACATAGCATACCTATGTATAATTTTATACAGACAAAATAGAAATTAGGCTCATAGTTTGAGGCTAATTTTTTTTCAATTATCCCAAAATGTCTTTTTAAAAAAAAATTCATTTATTCACATGTGCATACATTGTTTGGGCCATTTCTCCTCCCGACCCCCCACCCCCTCTTTTTCTCCCCCACCCCCTCTCGCTTCTAGGCAGAACCTCTTCTGCCCTTATCTCTAATTTTGTTGGAAGAGAAAACATAAGCAATAATAAGAAAGACAAAGCACTTTTACTAGTTGAGATAAGGATAGCTATACAGAGAGATTCCTAGCATTGCTTCCATGTACGAATGTGTTACATCCCAAGTTGATTCATCTCTAACTGACCTTTTCACTAGTTCCCAATCCCCTTCTCATACTGACTTCAGCCACTTTAAAGTTTCTGTATTAGTTCCTCTGCAGTGGGGACATCAAATACTTTCATGATTTGGGTTTCTTACCTACTCTAGTACCTCCCGTATGTGCTCTCCCCTTATGTGACCCAAGTCAAACCACATTGCTGTATTTGCCCTAGATCTAAAGTCCACATATGAGGGAGAACATACTATTTTGGTCTTTTGAGCCTGGCTAACCTCACTCAGAATGATGTTCTCCAGTTCCATACATTTACTTGCAAATGATAAGATTTCATTCTTCTTCATGGCTGAGTACAATTCCATTGTGTGTAAATACCACATTTTCTTAATCCATCCATCAGTAGTGGGGCATCTTGGCTGTTTCCATAACTTGGTTATTGCGAATAGCACTGCAATAACCATGGGTGTGCAGGTGTCTCTGGAGTAACCTATGTCACATTACTTTGGCTATATTCCCAGGAGTGAGATTTCTGGATCATATGGCAGATCTGTGTTTACATTTTTAAGAAGCCTACAAATATTTTCCAGAGTGGTTGCACTAGCTTACATTCCCACCAGCAGTATACGAGGGTTCCTTTTTCCCCCATGCCTCACCAACACCTGTTGTTAGTGGCATTTTTGATGATGGCTTTTCTGACAGGGGTGAGGTAGAATCTTAGTGTGGTTTTGATTTGCATTTCCTTTATGGCTAGAGATGGTGAGCATTTTTTCACGTGTATTTTGGCCATTTGAATTTCTTCTTTTAAGAAAGTTCTGTTTAGTTCAGTTGCCCATTTCTTTATTGGTTCATTGATTTGGGGAGAGTTTAGTTTCTTAAGTTCCCTGTACATTCTGGTTATCAGTCCTTTGTCTGATGTACAGCTGACAAATATTTTCTCTCACTCTGTGGGTGGTCTCTTTAGTTTAGAGACCATTTCTTCTGTTGTGTGGAAGCTTTTTAGTTTTATGAAGTCCCATTTGTCCATTCTTTCTCTTAGTTGCTGAGCTGCTGGGGTTCTACTGAGGAAGTCCTTGCCTATATCTACTACTTCCAGAGTGTTCCCTGCTCTTTCCTGTACCAACTTCAGAGTTTGGGGTCTGATATTAAGGTCCTTGATCCATTTTGAGTTGATACTAGTACAGGGTGATAAACATGGAACTAGTTTCAGTTTTTTGTAGATGGACAACCACTTTTCCCAACAACATTTGTTAAAGAGGCTATCTTTGTTCCATCGTGTATTTTTAGTGCCTTTGTTAAAAATAAGGTGGGCATAGTTGTGTGGACTCATATCTGGGTCCTCTATTCTGTTCCACTGGTCTTCATGTCTGTTTTTGTGCCAGAACCACCCCCCATGTTGTTTTTATTGCTATTGCTTTGTAATATAGTTTGAAGTCAGGTATTGTGATGCCTCCAGCACTGCTCTTTTTGCTGAGTGTTTCCTTGGCTATTTGTGGTCTCTTGTGTTTCCAAATGAATTTTAGGGTAGATTTTTCAATCTCTTTGATGAATGTTATTGGGATTTTGATGGGAATTGCATTAAACATGTAGATTGCTTTTGGTAGTATAGCCATTTTTACTATGTTGATTCTACCAATCCGCGAGCACGGGAGATCTCCCTACCTTCTGTAGTCTTCCTCAATCTCTTTCTTCAGGGGTTTGTAGTTCTCCTTGTAGAGGTCATTCACATCCTTTGTTAAGTTTACTCCTAGGTATTTGATTTTTTTGAGGCTATTGGAAGTGGAATTGTTTTGATACATTCTTTCTCATTTGCTCCTTATTGGTGTATGAAAAGCTAATGATTTTGTAAGTTAATTTGTATTCTGCCACCTTGCTGTAGCTGTTTATGGTGTCTAGGAGTTTTTGGGTAGAGTTTTTTGGGTCTTTAAGGAATAGGATCATATCATCTGCAAATAGGGATATTTTGACAGTTTCTTTACCTATTTGTATTCCTTTTTATTCCTTCTTCTTGCCTAATTGCTCTGGCTAGGAATTCTAGTACTATGTTGAATAAGAGTGGGGATAGTGGGCACCCTTTTCTCATTCCTGATTTTAGGGGAAATGGTTTCAGTTTTTCACTATTAAGTATGATGTTGGCTGTAGGTTTGTCATATATAGCCTTTATAATGTCGAGGTACATTCCTTCTATTTCTAGTTTCTTAGAGCTTTTGTCATGAAGTGGTGTTAGATCTTGTCGAAGGCTTCTTCTGCATCTATTGAGATGCTCAAGTGGTTTTTGTCTTTGTTTCTATTAATGTGCTGTATTACATTTATAGATTTGCATATGTTGAACCATCCCTCCATCCCTGGGAAGAAGCTGACTTGGTCAAGGTGAATGATCTTTCTGATGTGTTGTTGGATTCAGTTTGCCATTATTTTATTGAGGATTTTTGCATCGATGTTCTTTAAGGAGATTGGTCTATAGTTCTCCTTTTTGGAGTTGTCTTTGTGTGGTTTTGGGATGAGCGTAATACTGGCTTCAAAAAATGAGTTAGGCAGTGTTCCTTCCCTTTGTATTTCGTGGAACAGTTTAAGAAGGGTTGGTATTAGTTCTTCAAAGGTCTGACAGAATTCAGCAGAGAATCTATCAGGTCCTGAACTTTTCTTTTTTGGGAGACTCTTGATTGCTGCTTCAATTTCATTTTGTGTTATAGATCTATTCAAGTGATTAATGTCCTCTTCGTTCAATTTTGAATGGTCATAAGTATCTAGAAATCTTTCCATTTCTTCAACATTTTCAAATTTATTAGAACATAGGTTCTCAAAGTAGTCTGATGATTTCCTGGATTTCCACGGTGTTTGTTGTTATTGCCCCTTTTGCATTTCTGATTTTACTGATTTGGGTTTTTTCTCTCCTTATTTTATTCATGTTTGCCAGGGGTCTGTCAATCTTCTTTATTTTTTCAAAGAGCCAACTTTTTGTTTCATTCATTCTTTTATGTTTCCATTTCATTGATTTTGCCCATAATTTTATTATTTCTCTCCTTTTGCTTGTTTTAGGATTTGCTTGTTCTTGTTTTTCCAGGAGTTTGAGATGAAGCATTAAGTCATTGATTTGAGATTTTTCTGTCGTTTTAATATATGCATTCATGGCTATAAACTTTTCTCTTAGGACTGCCTTTGCTGTGTCCCGTAGGTTCCGGTAGGTTATGTTTTCATTTTCATTAACTTCCAGGAACCTTTTAACTTCCTCTTTTATTTCAACAATGACCCATTAATCATTGAGCAATGTGTTGTTCAGCTTCCAATTGTTTGCATGTTTTTTATTGTTGTTTTGTTGGTGAGTTCTAATTTTAATGCATTGTGATCAGATAGAATGCATGGGATTATTTCTATTTTCTTGTATTTGCTGAGACTTGCTTTGTGCCCTAAGATATGATCAATTTTGAAGAAGCTTCCATGGGCTGCTGAGAATGTATATTATACAGAAGTTGGATGAAATATTCTGTAGACATCAGCTAGGTCCATTTGATCTATGTTATGATTTAGATCTAGGATTTCTTTATTGTTTTTTTGTTTGGATGACCTATCTATTGGTGATAGGGGGGTATTAAAGTCTCCCTCTACCACTGTGTTGCAGTTTATATATGTTTTTAGGTCCTTCAGAGTATGTTTGATGAAATTTGGTGCATTGATGGGTACATATAGGTTGATAATTGTTATTTCCTTTTGGTGTATTTCCCTTTTATTAGTATGGAATGTCCTTCTTTATCTTGTTTGATCAATGTAGGTCTGAAGTGTACTTTGTCCAAGATAAGTATTGCTATTCCTGCCTGTTTTCTGGGGCCAGTGGCTTGGTAAATCTTCTTCTGGCCTTTCGCCCTAAGCCAGTGCTTGTTTCTGTTGATGAGATGGGTCTCCTGTAGGCAACAAATTGTTCCATCTTCCTCTTTAATCCAGTTTGCTGAATGGTGTCTTTGGTAGGGAATTAAGTCCATTAACATTCAGTGTTAGTATTTATAGGAATGTGGTGATTCCTGTCCTTTAGTCATCTTTGTTGTTTAAGGGTTTGATTGTGTGCAGCTAAATCAATGTTACTCTTTACTTTCTTGCCTTTTCTTCTACTGTGGTTTGTTACTGCCTGTCCTTTCATGGTTTTGTTTGCTTTCACTTTCTGTGTGCAGAATTCCTTGAAGAATCTTTTGTAGTGGTGGCTTGGTGGGGTCATATATTGTTTTAGTTTCTGCTTATCGTGGAAGACTTTTATTGCTTCATCTATTTTGAATGATAGTTTTGCTGGGTAGGGTATCCTAGGGTTGAAGTTATTTTCATTCAGTGCCTGGAATACCTCACTCAATGGCCTTCTTGCTTTTAAGGTTTCTGTTGAGAAATCAGCTGTGATTTTGATGGGTTTACCTTTGTATGTTATTTGTTTTTTCTCTCTTACAGCCTTCAATACTCTTTCTCTATTCTCTGTGCTTGTTGTTTTAATGATAATATGTCATGGGGTAGTTCTATTTTAGTCAAGTCTGTTTGGTGTCCTGGAGGCTTTCTGTACCTGAATGGGCTTAGTTTTCTATAGAGCTGGGAAACTTTCTGTTATTATTTTGTTGAATATATTACAAATTCCTTTTGCTTGTACCTCTTCTCCTTCTTCCATGCCCATGAGTCTCAGGTTTGGTCTTTTGGTGGAGTCGGTGAGTTCCTGTATATTACTTTCATAGGTCTTGAGTTGTTTGAGTAACATTTCTTCAGTTTTTCCTTTAATTTCCATTTCATCTTCAAGTTCTGAGATTTTGTCTTTTGTTTGTTCTAATCTGCTGGAGTGGCCTTCCATTGTATTTTGTATTTGTTTCTTTTTTTTTTTTCCTGAGGTTTTCCATATCATAGGTTACTTCCTTTTCCATATTGTCAATTTTCATCCTTAAACCTCTATTTATGGTGTTCTCTGTTTCACTTTGGTATTTATTAGGGCTGCTATGAGTTCACTTATTTGTTTTTGTGTGCTCTCGTATTCTGTATTTTTGATGTCTTGGAATTTCTTGAGTGCCTCCTGTACATTTTGGTTGACCTTCTCTAGTAAGATCTCCATGAAATTCTCAGTGATTTCTTCTTTCAGGGTATTCTTGTGGGCTTTGTTGGGTTCCTTGGGATAGTCTATCTTTGTTTTGTTGGAGTCTGGAACTGGGTATTCGTTTTCTTCATTTCCCTCTGAATCCTGTACTAATTTATTTTTATGGGGAGAATGGTTTCCATTCCTTTTTCGTCTTCCCATCATTCCACTTGGTGCTGTTTCTGTCCCTTGTCTGTGTGTAATTTAGTATTAGCTAACTTAAAATAGTAAAACTAATGAAACCAAAAAAGAAAGAGAAGAAAAAATAGAGAACCAAAGAAATCAACAGAGAGAGATGGTGGACAAACAAACAGTGAACAAGACAAATACTTATAGAGAAAGAATAAAAAGAAACCAAAAAACAAAATTCTAGGTTCAGGAACAATAGAATTTCAGTCTTAGTAGCTCTGGTGTTACTCCTTCAGCATCCAATCCCAGTGCTGGTATTTAAGCAGTAGCTCTGTCAGTTTTGCCAGGTGGTTCGGTCACGAGACGAGCTTTGTGTACCACCATCTGCCCTATTTCAGGCAGCGGCTCATCACCTGCCTACTGTTAGCCTGTCTGCCTTTCTAAGCTTTGTTTACTGAAAGTTTGCTTGGAGTTCAGCTCCTTGCCCCTCCCCCTTTCTCTGGTGCACAGAGTGTACCCTGCCCCCTCTGCTGTGTGTTCTTTTCAGTTCCTTGTTTATTATCCAGTTTTTTTGTTTTTGTTTTTTTTTTTGCAGCGCAGGGGTCACTCTGTCCAGGGGCTATGCTGGTTCATCGCAGGAGTAGCTGTGGGAATTCCGCATGCCGCTTATTTGCTCACCTGTTGGCCTGCATCTCCCAAGCAGGTTTGGAGCTGCCATCTGGTAGCACAGGAGCTCCCCTGTTTTCTCAGTGTAATGTGGCGTGGAGAAGCTTTGTATGGGCTGGGGGTTAAGGGTGTCGAAGTTTTGCTTATTCTTGGTGTTTTTTTTCCACCAAGTGTTGGCTCCAGTGTCTCAGCAAGATTTTGATTTACAGAGCTCATGCTGTCTGCTTCCTCTCTCTAGTCACCATCTTGGATCTTGTCTGAGACTAATTTTTAAGTTTCATTTTTCTTTCCAGCTAAAATTCACTTCCCAAAAAGTGACTATTATCTTATTTTATTTCTATCTCAATAAGCTATATGCAAAAAAATAAAAAGTAAAATAAAGCTCTGCTTACCTTAAGCTGTCCAATTTCCTTAAATTTATAAACTTCATATTCCCACAGTGCTGTATTTTTACCAAGAATCTTCTGGCATTTGCTGTCAGTAAAAACATCCCAGGGGAAAAAGTATAAATAAAGTAAACAGAGACAGAGTAAGTGGACATTTTCTCAGTGAGTTAGATAATCTCTTAGAGTTTTGACAACTTTCTATCTCCAGCACCAAAGAAAACAAGTATTACAGTTACTTACCTGGTTGTCTACACAAGTTGATGGAAATTATATAAAATACTTAGGAACAAAGATGAACCACTTTCATAAGACTATAATTAGGATTTTACCAAAGGATTTTCCTGTTCTTAGCTTCCTATTTATCCAGATGAACACTGCTGGTTTGGGACCTTTCTTGCCTTCAAGAAAACTCATCGTACCTCAAAACATCAGTTTCTTACTGAATGGATTTAAATAATGGGCTACATACAAAATCAAATTTCAGAATGTGTTTATATGAATGAAACTTTACACATGGAAGAAACACATTTCTTAAATAATTTCAGGGGACAAAGGCAGGCCTAAAGGCAATCTTTGAGGGCTGTCATGGAGATGGGCAGGCACTGCACAGCTCCAGTGGACCCTTCTTATATGATCACATTTATATTTTCTGTCCACCACAGAGCCCTGTAACCTGGGACCCTAGAATCTGATCACTTCCATTTTAGTGCCACCCTCTTGTTGAGAAACAATCCTCTTTGAACTATGAGCAGAGGAGGTAGCTTATTCTGGATGATCTTCCAAGGATGCTTACAACGCAATCAGCTCTAGCAATCAGAGGACAGACCCAGTGTCTCCCTCCAGAACACAGGGCAGCTGTGTTTACTGTCCAGTACAATGAGGGTACTATCATTTTCTGGAACAGGCCATTGGAAAAGATATCATAAGCATGAGCTTCCTGTCTGGTAATGTAACTCATGGATAGGCAGGGTCACCTGGCCCACTATACCATGTGTGCTGTGGGAAGTGGGGATAGGAGATGTGGGGTAGAGGCTAAAACTCTGGCTACTACCAGAGGACTTGGGCCACTACAACTGCTGAGACAGTCCTTTTGCTCTGAACAAAATCTCCAGTCTTCCACCAGTACCTGCTAACTTGTTAGTTTATAAACAAGGGGCAAATGTCAGACTGACTCTCTTGACACCTTTCTCATTAAAACATGAGAAAAACAATTTTCCTTTGGTAAAATTGAGACAGGAGTTGTGGAACTCACACACACACACACACACACACACACACACACACAAATAGGCTGTTGTTAACACCAGTCAATTCTATAAGTAAATAACTGAAAATGTCATCATTACCGTGCTGCTATGTCATATTCTCCTCTCTCCACCAGATGATTTACATATGCCAAGCCAATATCCTAGGGAAAATTAAATGAAGGAACTTCATAATTTAGTGGAAAAACTGAAAAAAAACGAGTCTCAGTTTCTGAGCAGGCCACAACATTAGGGACCTGTTAACACTACTGTCTGCCACCTGTCTCTATGTCTCAGTTACTCTATGTAATTATGTTTCTATCTTTAGCATATTTATTTAAATGTACTTGTATTTGTTTTTTCATAAATTTTAGAATTTTGTTTTTAAAAATAAGTAACATTAATATTTTAAAAACTCTTAATCAACTGCCCTCTGAGAGATTTTCCACAAGGGTAATCTCTAGTACTAGAAAAATGATCCAACAATTTCATGTTGTCACTAACTATAAAATTCTATTTCTTATACCTGCATCAGGAAAACATGGGCTCTTCTCTGTCCCAATCTGAAGACATGTTATAAGAAAAATGAAATGACAGGCTCTCATATTAAAGTTAATATGAAATATTAAATTTAATACTAAAGTGAAAGTAAGCTCATAAAAACAAGCAATTCAAATTCCCAAGTTTGAAGAAATGGCTGAGAGCAGTAACTGATTGTCTTCAGAGTTCATGTGTATTCACTTACTCCACCTTGGTCCCAAAAGATTTGGGGTAGCAGTATCACCACAAGCACTGGAGGACAACTCATGCTTAATCTCCTCCTGACACTTTTTACAAAGTACTTATTTCTACCCAGAAACATTTTCATGAGAAACTTAAACTCAGTATATAAATCAAAACTTGAATTTTAACTTCTAGTTTATATACAAAGGTATACATGAAATTTCTTCCTGGATAGCACAAATGCCAGAAGCCCATTTCTTTTCTGCATACCTGGTATGAAATGACACAGTGATAGGAGAAAAATATTCCATACATAATGAATGAACAGGACAGGCTCATTTCAAGAGCAGAGGGAAATGCCCATAGTTTTTAGTTTACTGTATTTTTTTCTTTAATGACTATTATGTAGTAACTCATAGTTTAAATCTACAGGAACCTGAGTGAAGAAAGGGTATCTAAGTTATCTCTCTGAAACAGACCTTTTCTATCAGGTTTCAGAGCCAGTCCCTCCAGACTTTCTCCTCAGATGTCCATCCCTCCATGTTGTAGCACTCACTCTGCACTCCTATTTTTTTTCTGTATACCTTTAATGCCAATCCTATTCTATAAGATACATAAAACATCCAACGACAAGTGTCCTGTGATGCTACAGCACCCAGCTGCAGATCTCACACTCACAGCTCACCTGATAGACTATATTTAACTCTATAATCCCCTTACTGTCTACTTCCCATAATACATTGAGAATAAAAACACATGTTACCAAATCCTGTGTACTTAAATAACTGAGCTTGTTTGGCCTTTCTAACCTGCTTACCTCAACTACATCACATTTAACTCTCTTAACCCTGAATTTTTTCCTCTCTCAACTCTCAGTACACAGCTTGTTTGTGTCTGTCTCAGCCATTCAAAATTTGGTTCCTATGTACCATCTCTTGAATGACAACATTCCTGACCATCCTGTTCACTATCTCCTGTTGTCTGATGCTGTACACTTCTCATAGGTGCTAATTCAAACTCAAGTACTCGACTTCGCTAGTAACTCTAACAAATCTATCTTTTAAGTTCAAAATCCTTTCCTGGCTCCACCAGGATGTCCCATGGGATGTCTCTATCCCTGCCAACCTTCACAGGGTGCACCAGTTCTCTCCTCACTTATTTTCACCTCAGCTGGCCTCCCTCCAGCTCCACCTGCATTAGAATCTAGGGTTTTTGGGTGGGGAGGGCAGTAGTGGGGTTTGAACTCAGGGCCAAAAGCTGATAGGTAGACATTCACCACTTGAGCCATACCTCCAGTCCTTTTCTTGCTTTAGATATTAGATAGGGTCTCATGTTTCTGCCCAGGGCTAGCCTTGGACAGCAATCCTCCTACCTATAGTCTCCCGAGTAGCTGGGATTACTGAAGTGATCTACGGGGCTACCATGCCTGGCTATGAAGTCTTTCTGATGGGAAGTCTGATGTGGAACTGAATGCTTACATTGTCTTGTAAGAGTTCTAAATAAAAACAAGCTCCTAATTGCAGATGACCCTTTCAGGGTTTGCTCTTTATTCTATGCAATAATCTGCTCAACTGCTCCCACCTTACTAAGCAGGCCCAGGCCTTTCACGTCTCAGCACCTTCACATATACTGTTCTAAGGGTGCAAAGACTTCTCTTTCATTTCTAAAGAATTCCTGTTTATGTTTCACAACTTTAACGGAAAAAAATATGCTCTGGTTCCCTCTTGTCCTTTTATTACTGTATTATTTTGCTTATGCACTCTTTGAGAATTAAGCCTTTCATATGGCGTTTCACAGAGGAGTTTAAGATGGGAAAAGCATAGGGAGAAAGAATTTGTGCTGAAACTCAAATAGCTACAAAGGACTGTTTTTAGTTTTTGTCTACAAACATAGATACTGGGCTACATGTTCTCTACGCACTCTTCACATACAAAGGGTATGATTTCTTGTCTGCTCTCCATCTACACATTCAGTCACAGTTAGCAATAAAATGGGCTTTCAGTCAGTGCATTTTCTCAGAATCCAAAATGTAATAAAAATGTATTTGATGTCCTACGTTACTCTCCATAACAAAATCAATCGACTTCATTATCATGGGGACATCGAAGCAATCTAGTTTTAAGAAACCACTCTTTTGATAAATTTTGTGGTCATGTGATTTTATCTATGATTCAAAGAAAGTTTCACACAAATAACTGGAAGCTTTATATTTAAAGTGTATTTCACAAATATAGTTTCCAAATTATCTAAAACTACCTGCTAGCAGGTGTTCAAATCTCTTGTTTACAAGCAGAAACTGATTTGATAAAATGAAATATTTTGACCTCACAGGTGAGAAAATTTGTTTGAAATCAATTCTGAAAAGAAACAGCCTGTTATTTTCAAATTATTTCCAGTCTCGTTATAACTTAATAAAAGATAAAGTTATGTTTCAAATATAAAATTGCACACTTACCAGCATCTTATGTCTTTTAATGTTCTTTTGGCTAATTTCAGCTGCCATCAAAGCTTCCTATGTTTACACAGCATGATAAAAACAAGACAGAAAAAAGGGAGAGAAAGCGGGAGAGAGTGGAGGAGAAAGACAGTGAAATTATAAACACCACATTTATGTTTTAGTGCTCTGGAGTACATGAATAAAGCCCCATTTTCTTGTGGCTTTTGCTTGAAGCACTGGAGTTTTTAATGCATGGCTGAGTAAGTTTTAGTGAATTCAAACTCAAACAAATGTAGTCAACCAAAAGAAGACTTCTTTCATTTCCATTTGAATTCATTTATACGTTAGAATACTAGAATCACATTTCACACAGAAGGTAAAATACAACAAAATCTCCTAGACTTCAAGCAAAATGAGGTATCTGTTATTATAAATCTTTATGACATATATTGACTAAGGGGTCCTTTTCTTTTATGTTTCACTAAAAGTAAACTGTATGCATATGTTTCTCTATGTCTGAAAATCTGTGGTTTTTGTTTTTATTTTGCAAAGCTTACGAGTACTATTTTACATAGACATTTAACACATAAAATGTTTTTTAAACAAACTAGTTGACCTAAAGTAATACGGTAATAACTGGGTTATGAACCGAGCATCAATTGCTTGGAGTCTAAATAGTTTATGAATTAAAAAATAATTCAATTCTTCCAGTAGTTACAAACTTAGAGTAATAAGGGGGACTAGTTATTGTTGTTTTCTGCTGACTAGTAAATAAGCTTATCCATAGTCTCTAAGCCAAATACAATAGTTTTTTTGTAGCTATTAAAGTTGAAAATGTTTTCTTTCAGTTTTTCTTTTTTCTTAAAGTCATGGGGAGTGGGAACAAAAACCAAAGTCATATTGGGGCATTATCTACTTAAATTTGTACAAACCAAGACTTATTAAAGTAGATGACAGCATCGTTCTATGCAAACCACTAGTTCAAACTTTACCTTTACATACAAAATAAGGATAAAAGGAGAAATTTTATTTAAATATCCAAAGAGACAAATCTAAAATACTAGTTCTATTTTAATTTCCTTAAGAAAAATTGTAAAATAAGACTATCAGTAGGGTATATCGATCCTACTCCCTTCCTCCACCACCTCTTCCCTCACTTAACAGTAAAGCCAATCCACCTCTTGCAAACTTTTTGTTCCCTAATTTATTTAGGGTACTGGAAAGTTGTTAGAGTCCTACATATTCTGGCTTGGGGCACTCTAATTCAACTATCTGAAAGATTTACTATAAAAATCTTTTATACTCTCAATATTAAAGATCAGTCAATACTTTCAAGAAATAATATCAAAATTACTTCGTATTTCTTCTTTTCAAGGAGCCAGTCGATGTGATCATCTTGGTCTCGCTCCTTGGCCACTACAACATCTCTTGGACTCACAATGTAGAAGAGTGACTCCCCTTCAGAGTATTCTGGAGGTGAAATGAAAGAGGACAACTTGGGTGACTAGACATGGCAAATGTGGCAATGGTTTCAGGGAACATGGTTACCCTATCCAATTTCACAGTGAGCAGAAAACTATCAACCTTTGTAGTCAAGTGTGCTTGACTCTGCTGGAAGGTAAGGGAAAGAGACAGGATAGAGAATAACAGAATATATTTCAATGCTTTTAAATGTATTTAAATGTAAAATTATTTTAAAGAGATGAAATGAAGGAAATAAAAAGGAAGGAAAGAGAAAACAAAAGGAAGAAAATACCTCAAAACTTAAAATAAGGCAGTGAGTTTAATAATTAACATTCTGACTTCAGATGAAAAATACTGCCCAAAATTCTCCATGCCTATTGCATATTAGAATTCATCTACTGTATATAAACCTTATTTATGGCCATCTACAACACTGTTCTATTTTTATAGAACAATTACATTGCACAGTTGGCGATAAATGTTTCTCCTCATCGAGGTCAAGGCCATCTAAAGCATAAATGACAGCTGCCCAAGCCCTGGGGACACAATCTATCATTTCAGCATGTTGTGTACAATGCCAATGGTGAGGGTTTCCTGCAGAATTCAATTATAAAACCTGTTCTGAAGAGTTTCTAAGTGTGCAGCAGAGTTTGCTCTGAGCAAAATAGCTAGATTGGATGCTTTCAGTTGTGAATCACAGTTGCTTTTGGCCAAGTCCAGAAGATACTCTCACAATTTTCAATTGATTAGAGGCGTCACATAAGAAGGATCAAACACACATAGAATATTTCTTCATTTCTTGGGCCAAAAAGAGAACTGGAAATATTCTCAAAAAAGTGTCAATTATTTCTAAGTCAAGAAAGAATTTCTAAAAAGCTTAACTGTTCTGTTTTCCTCAATACATCTTTAAAGATATGATGATACTCAAACACAGATTTGGCAAGACTAAATAGCAATGGTTCTCCTTTTGTTTCTGAGCAGTGAGTAGCTAGTCTGTCCACTCCACATATAATCATCCAAGGCCTAATAACATAGAAGGACTCCTTCCAGCTGTAAGCACTTGGTTACAAACAGAAAGACAACTTCTTTGCCATTCCAGAGCAGCAAACTTTCCAGGGACATAGAGTTGGAAGTGATATGACAACTACAGTCATGCTGCTTGACATCAAGTTAAATGACGCTTACAAAGTGAGGAAATATACAAACAAAAAATGCCCAATCCTCACTTTGGTCCTGATCCCATCTCTAGCTTTCCTTTTACTATGGGTACTCAGGCAAGCTCTCTAATATTTCTGGGCCTGGATGCCCTGGCTTGCAACAGAGAAGGCATGTCCAGACATTCCCTAAGATCCTTTTAACACCTCAATTTATATTCCATTTTGAGAGAATTCAATAGAAGGAAAATACCATAAGTATAAGAAATCCCATGAGGCAGATCTCAGATCTCTCTCACCTAAATGATAATCTCTACATTCATTCTCCTGAAAGCCTCTGACTGTCAAAGCATCAGAAGAGATCTCTTCACAAGTCTCAGAAAGCGGCTGGATGATATCCAGTCTAGGTCTGGCACAGAATTCTCTTTCCTAGGGAAAAAACACAGTGAAGGGTTAATTTTAAACACATTTCTTTAAGTTACGTGAATTAATGCAAATTATTATACTTGCTTTGGTTTTATCAATTTGGCACACATAAGCCTGTCTGACAGCTTGCTTCCTAACACTGTCTTATTTTCTGACTTTTTCTGTGAGATAAATAGGACTGTGTCATTTAGGCCCTCCACCACTACAGCATTCAATCCCAGGGGAATGGTAGTCCAATAGCAACACAGACTTTATTACATTTCTTCTACATGAACGTGAAAAAGTAATATCACAGACTGCTCCATTACCCAGTCACTGCCAATACTAGTAAACTCACTTGTAATGCAAAAAAAAGCTAAAGATCAACAGTAGTCTCAGAATCTGACCTTGTTGAGATGACAGAAATGTTGTTTATATGAACTGTCCAATACGGCAGATGCTACATAGGTAGCTGTTTAACATATGAAATGAGGCTACTGTGATCATGAAACTAAAATTATATTTTTATTTGATTTTAATTAGTTTAAATTTAAATAGCACTATACAGTAGTGTTTACAGTCTTTTACTTTGAAATTCTAGATTAAAAGAGGAGGGAAAAGATGAGTTAACATTTGCCAAGTGCCTATGACAATTCAATAAACTCAGCAGGTGATTATATATAAATTACACTCACTGAATTCTTAAATGAACCCTACAAAGTTAAGTATTATAGTTCTTATTATTAGAGATGATCCAACTCATGATAAAAAAAGTCAACGAAGATTAAAGTTCAATAAGTCAGTGATAAGGCAGGGACACATGGAAAAACTGGGACTCAATCTTGAATTTGGAGGTCAAATCTGTTCTACTTTCAAGTTAATGCTTTTTGAGTATTATAGGCACAATATACACTTGAATTCATTATGCAAACCAACAATAAGTAAAGCACTTTGATACTGATATAGAGAAGACATAGGTGGAGGAAAAAAATAGGAGGAAAAATCCAGAATGATACCCAGCTCTCCAAATTTCTTAAATAAAACAGTAATACTGGATCTTTCAAATTAATTTTGTTAAGTTACTGAGAAACAATTATATTAGCTTTTCTCTCTACAACCACAGGAAAAAAAAACTAGGTAATATAATAGCAGAACTTAACAGATCTGTAGAGAAATGAGAAATTTATCAATTTTTAGAAATAAAAAATGGAAGAAAAGCTGAAAAGATTAAACTACTTAAAATTTGCTATAAAACGATAAGAAATAACAAAATCAAAGTAATGAAGTAGAACAATATTTGAACAAAATAAAATTAAAATCATGTCACTAGATCATATAAAAAACTGCTTTAGGGCTGGGGATGTAGCTCAAGTTCAGTGGTAAAGTGCTAGCATGCATGGGGCTATAGGATTTCTGGGTTCAATCACCAGCACAGTAAAAAAAAAAAAAAAAAAAAAAAGTGTGTGTGAGTGTGTGTGTGTAAGAAAAGCACCAGCAATGTGATTCATCTCAGTTTACAACTCTTGTTCCCTAGCTAAACATCCACTCATCTGTGAACTTCTCAAGAGCAGGAATGTGGTTTAGTTGATCTTTGACACCCCAGTGCCTGGGCATACTTCTTAACACACATGAGTTTTATCAATTAGTGAAAGAAAAACAAAACACTGGGAAAAGCTTAATAAACTAAAGATGTTAATTGGAAGGAATAGTACACTTTACTAATGATGTTAAAATATCTTTTCAGTATGAGAAAAGGGAAGAGAGGATGTCCTGAAGCGGACCCCCTTATTCCTTATGTCTCAATTTTATTATTTTATTCTGTATTTGAGGATTTAAAGTACATTTTGGTGTTACATAAAATCAGTCTCTAGACACAGTGACACACACATTTTAAGTCATCTCCAAAACTCTCACCTCTTCCTCTGAAAAAATTCCATTTTCTAATTTGGTCTATGAGGTTGGCCTTCCTTTGGTTTTTATTCCTTTCCAATACTTTCTTTTATTAACAAGGTTTCCTTTCTTTCTTTCTTTTTTTTTTTTTTTTGATCAGTTGTTTATTAGTCCTTCCCTTTTTTCATTTTATTACTTCTTTCCTTATTTCTTTCAATCACATTCTCATCCTCCCACATTCCTCATTAAAAAGCATTGTACTTACTCCCCCAGGAGCCACTGCTTTTATTTTCAAAAAATAAATAAAATAATAATAAACTGATGTCCTGCAATAGAGCTAGAAGCCAACCCTATTGATTTTAGGAGGTTTGAGTGTTCACTTAAGTCTACAGCATTTCATTGCCTAGCAACATGGGCACCCAGAGCTTCAGTTACTATAGTGATGGCTTCCTAATGCAAGTGCTCTCTCAGAGAAATGCTCACTACAGCTACCACTTCAAAACAAGGGCTCCAAGGGTTTTCTCCCCCATTTCATTCCTTGCTATTTGAGGGAAAAAAAGAGAATAGGATACAAACAAGGAGAGCCCCACTTGGCTACTTACTGTAAAGGGACAGAGAATCAATTGCAATTACTTTTAAATACAGAATCCAAAAGGAAATCCTTTACAATAGCTCTCCTTGTTTGTGCCTTGAAAGTGCCCTTACTCATTCCGGGCAGGGCCCCAGGACTCTAATAAAGAAGATCAGCTGGATGGAGATGGCCCAGGCTTTAAAAGGGAGACAGAATATGCCTGCCCCTCCACAGGACTCCAGATAGAAGCTTCATTCTGACGTCAATAATTAAAAAAATTTAATTATGTGCTATTTTTTTTATTAGCCACACATTTTAAAGTGCTATAGTTTGCATTGATAACTGAGAGTTACCAACAGTCCCTTGAAAAGCAATAATCAAGCTACTGAGAAACACCAAGCCACTGGGAAGTAAACAAAAACGTCTGGGCCACAGGAAATAATGAACTGCCCTTTCCGTAATTCCCTCTGACCACAGGGACCCCTGTTGCTGCAGCCCATCATTGCTGTCATTTCTGCTAATGCACAGTGTCAGCTTAGTTTCTTTGCCTTTCAGCAAGAGGAATCCTTCATTCCTTTCGACTAAAATACCATGAGGCCAATGAAAAAAAGAAAGAAAAAAAATGACTGTCTTCTTTGCTCAGCAAAAGTAACAAAGGCAGGCAACCAATGGAGCTTCTGATAGCAAATGTGCTAGGTCTACAGAGTAATCTCTGACAGTCTTATTATATAGATCAGAAAGTGCTGCTCAGATTATAGCAAACTCCTCTGATAGGAAACATGATCTGGGTGCAATGCTAAAAGTGAACCCCTACATTCTTTTGTGCTTGGAAAGAAAATAATTACCGTTTTTTCTGAAACTTCCTTGACGTAGGAAAGCACAACAAGCTGATCACAGAGAGGTGCAAGTCCACTAATGTAGAATTCAGTTTCAAACTGAGACACTGCAAAAACAAGAAATGTAAGAGTCACCATTAAAAGGAGCAAAAGGCAGCATACAATCAGAACTGCACATCAACTGTACATGCTAGATGGCTCCATTTTAAAAGGAAATGATGTTTAAGGAGAGGGAAAATACTAATTACCCTGACTGGATCACTACACTTTGTGTACATATACTGAATTATCACACAGCACACTGTACAATGCTATGTCTCAATTTTAAAAATGAACATAAGAGGGTCATAATTAACATACTTTCACCACTCGAGACTAAAGTGCTTCACAATAATCAGTACTGGAAACAATATGGAGAAACTCAAATGAAGATTTCCAACACAAACAAAAATGAACCACAGTAAGAGCAGCGAGTCTGACACTGTGTCTGGTAGTTTAAAAATGACGTGAAGTTAAATCACATGAAGATACTTGGAAAACATCAATATAAATGATCATTGATAGCAATTTTCAAATGCTTGAGTTTAAGTTTTTCACAACTGGGACATTACAGTGGAAGAAAGGCTACAAGGAATGCTATCTGTAATGCTAAAATGCTGTTTTTTATATTAAATATTTAAAGACCTCAAAGTAAAAAAAGTATATAGATTACATTATGATCAAACATCATTATTTTAATTATTGATCTAATTATTGATTGACTGACTGATTGATTATACTGGAGTTTGAACTCAGGGCCTCATGCTTCCTAGGCAGGTGTGCTACTATTTAAGCCACATCCACAGCTACTTTTGCTTAAGTTATTCTTCAAATGGGGTTTAGTTAGTTATGCCTCCCCCAGAGCTGGATCAGAAGTATGTGCCTTGGTGCCTGGTCCAAATGTCATTATTTCTAGTCAGAGAAAAATAATAAGCTTTTAAAAAATATTTTAAAATTTAGAACTATTATATCCAGAAGTATGTGGACATAATTACACTGGACACCAGTCGATACAAAGCTCAGTAGAGGAAAGGTCTATATTACCATGGCATGTATATTACCATGGCATGATTCTGCCCGTTCACTGCTGTGGAATAGGAGTGACTACTGTTTTAAGTGATTGAGTGCTGGGGCAGCTTGCTTCAGAGCAAAAGCTCACTGTTATGGAGAGATGCTGGAAGATACTTTCTCAGAGGAGTATGTGCTGCACGCTGGGATTCACTGGGGAACTCTTGATCCAGATGTTCTCCACAGTTCTGAGTATTAGCTGCTGCTTCAGTTAACATCTATGATGAAAGTACTCTTGTTCCCCAAGTGGGGGAACTCAGTGTATCATGCTGGAAACAATACTGAATGCCCACTCAGGAAATCTGGGTTATAACTTTCACTAAATTGAATTTAGGTAAGTTACTTTAACTTTTGGTATATAACTTTTTTTATCTATAAGTTAAAAAGAAAATGAGAGTAGAAATAAAATCCCTAGTACACACGAAATGAGGGGCTATTGAATTTTTCTTCTCCTACCCCTTTTTCTCGCACGTCACTTAGAAAGAATTCCTTGCCTTCGCCAATCGTTAGTGATTCTCCTTACACAGCTGTTTTCAAGATTTAATTTTCACAGGAAAATAGATCACCAAAAACTTACTACGTAGTTACCAACATAAGAGCCTTCAAAAGGGTATTTCTTACATTTGTCCTTGACGAGACTATGTAAGTCTGTAACTCATGATGGATGGGAAAGAACCACAGGGTGGATGGAAGTCTGAGAGTAGGTGCTTTGTGCCCAGCTCTGTCACTAATCCATTGTCCTTCACCTCTGTTGGCCTAAGGTAAGTATTTTTATCCAGGAATTTAAAAAGAGTTTGGAAAGGTGGCAATATAAGAAATGCTTACAAGATGGCTCATGTGAGAACCACCTCCACCTCAACCACAGCACAGAAACGAGTACTTCCAGGGCAACGAGGCTGCAGAAGGTTCTAGAGAAGCTCACACAGTACAGTGTATGTGTGGGTAAGGGGGAAGGTGTAATGTGCAGATGGAGAAGGTATCCATTTTACCTTCTAAAAGATACACAGGCAAAATAACATGAGATTTTGGTTGCCATCACTCCTGCTTGGTTAAAATGGACTTAAATTCTGTTGTATTAGGTCACATCCCATGGTTGAAATACTATCATACAGTTCCTCCTTATCAACATCTGTGTGAATAACAAAAACTGAGAGATGCTGGTGGGGGACACAGTGGCCACCATGGGGCTTCATCGGGTGACTGTCCTGGTGGTGGTAGCAGCAGTGACAAGTCCTCCTCCTCCCTCACCCCTCTGCTCCTTGTTCTCTTCCTCTTCCTTTCCGGTCTAGTTGGTCTTGTCCACGTCTCCTAACAGTGTCCCAATCCTACATAAAGGTATAACTTCCTACAACTGCAGGGAAAACAGTGTGTCTCACCATCACATGCTTTAAAGTATTTCCAAGCTTGAATAAACAGAAAATGCCAGTATTTAATGCATCTTTGGTTTTGCGCTGGAGACCCTTTACTACTAAGTATCAAGAAAAAAAACTGTAAACTAATCTGGACCTTATTCCAAGTCACAATGGAACCATTTGTAATAAAAGCACTACCTGAGGGGCTGGGATGTAGCTCGGTGGCACAGCGCTTGCCTAGCATGCACGAGGCCCTGGGTTCGATTCCAGCACCAAAAAAAAAAAAAAGCACCACCTGCTGGAAATCATTCTAAGACCACTTTGTATGTGACACCCCTGGGTTGAGGCACTGAATTTGGATGTGAACTTCTGGAAAATTCTTGCACTTGTGGTTCTAAATCATGTTCAACATTCAGCCATTAGTGACCATAGTCAAAGACTCACACCAAAAAGAAGGCAGAATTTGAAGAGTAGAATGTGAGAAGAAAGCAGAAGGCCCTAACTAAATCTCTTTAGCGCAAGAGTACTGGGCAAACAGAAAGTCAAGCACCTGGTGAAAACGTGCCTGGAAGCCTAGATTGAATGATCTCCCTTGAGAAGGCTGATCACCACCCTGCAGTCCATTCTTTCCCATCTTGCCATGTGAAGAACAGAAGAACCAAAACTAAGTCAGATCAGGTGAGGAAGGTATACTGCCTGATGGGTATTAGAATGAGAACCCACTTAACTCCTAAGATTGTTGACAAGGAGGTTAGCATCATTGTGATCAAGATAAATAATGTGAAATATTAATGTGTGGGAAAAAAGCAGAGATGTCATAGAAACCCTTCTCATGAACATGACCCGGAGGCCTTGCTGTGCTTGTCTGCCAAAGGTGCCCAAGGGAACATCATTTAATCACAAAAAGAGTGGTGGGTGAACAAGGTATTTTCCCCATGTGGGATGCTAGACAGCCTGCCTAGACTCATGGGCAGGTGGCATGAGGCAATGTTTCCTAAAAATAACCGAGTATACTTCAAGATCTGGGTTTTTATAAATAAGGTGTAAGATACAGAACAGAGAAGCCAGAACATAATAATGCCATGCAAATCTTTCCTCTACATCCTGATTCACTTAGTCTATAATGCTTGCATGAATGAGAGAAAATTTCATGCTTTCTGAGATCATGACAGAAACTCTAAAATGTTCTTAAGGAAAACAAGGAAAGACTCCAGAACTAACTGTATTATCAATTCTGGATGTTGTAATTAATGCTTTGTTGTTAAGTACTAAACTTATCAAGCCTTACTACTTGCAAATTGGTCTAATTTCGACAGAGATTACACAGTGACTAAATCAAAACTGACACACGAAAAACTCTTATTTATAAAGAAACGATGTGTTACATACAAATAATAGTCAAGATATTCAGAGATACAGATAAAATTGAAAGTAAAAGATTTTTGCTAAATAATTTCCTAATATCATAAAAAATCTTCTTATAGGAAACAAAATTGCACTTATGGTAAAACCCAGGATGATTTACAGATCAGGACTATTTAAATGACTATTTAACTTAGCTGTTGAATATTCTACTACTTAGCAATTCACTGCCATTAATGCCCACCAGTAATATCATGTTGAAAAAGAATTCAGTTTCTAATCTGAGTTGCTAGTTTATGAAAAGGTTTGCAACTATTCTGCCATAAAATAAAACATTACAGAAAAAATTGTAGTGTCTTGTTTTTCCATTACTTTTGCTAATACAAAGAAACAGGAGTGCTTTTAGATCTACAATGATGCAATTGTTAATAGTAATATTAATTCTTCTAAAGAACATAAAGTATGCAACAGTTTATGAACTTAGTAAAATATCTTCAAGTAATTATTTCATTTACACATTAGACAGTGGGTCAATGAAAGTTGTACTTCTCATTTTCCCTGAAATTCTATTCTATCCCACAAAATGATGACTTTAAGAATTTCAATAAAAAGCTTGCTTTTTCCTAGAGGAAACCTAGTTTGAAGTAGGTCATGCACATGTTTAATACTATAGAAACTCATCTTTATTATTTGTTTATTTATTTATTTATGAGGAACTGGAGTTTGAACTCAGGGCCTTACTCTTAGAGTTTGTTAGGCAGCTGCTCTACCACTTAATTCACACCTCCAGCCCAAAAGCTTATTTTTAAATGGATTATCTGGAAAAAATAAATCACAAAGAAAATTAAAGCAAATTCTGTTGTGCTTATATAGAACACAAAACAGAAGCTAGAGTATGGACAAGGAGGAAAGAATAATGTGGCTCAAGAGGGACCCACAAAAGACAGTATCTATGAGTATCAGGCAATCTAGAAAGTGAGGTAATGGTTCTAGGGCCCTGCAGTGAGTGTGCTGTGTTCACACACACAGTGTTCTGATGAAGAACATCAGCAAAGTGCATAACAGCTACAGCAGAACCTCCCTTATCCCAACAGAGATGAAAGGGCTTCTGTGCTCTGATTTATTCAGGAAGATAAAGCATCCGTAGACATGCTAGCAGTAGTCCAAGAAAACGGAAATCCTAAATAGATTAGGAGAGAAGGACAAAGAATTTCAAAAGGGTTCATACTGAAATTCTGTTCAGCAAGGTCTTTTGGATCCAGAATGGGGATGAGATGTGTACAAAA